GTAATCCCCCAAAAAGCCCCAAAAGTTGGCATGGGAAGTTGTGTAAAGTTGTATTAGCGTGACAATTTGTGACTTTGTTAGCTACAAACGTGTACTTGAATCTTGGCTTCTCATCCACACTTTTTATTGTGTTTTATTACAGAAAGCAAACTGGTGAAGTACTAGCTAAGTTATGTCTAGTAGTCATAGAATCAGACCACTTAAATTGCTAGAGTAGTAGCCGGGTACTTTTATTAGTGCTTGGTTTAAACTGACCGAATAATCTTAATTTTAATGTACTCGTTATGTTCTTAAAGTGACAATTTGGATTTTTACTCTAAACTGCTTCAATGCCAAAAGCTTTTAGTACATGCAAGTGCTTTTCTTCAAGTCCTCCATGCTCTAAAACATGTTTTGTCGACAGAACCAATGCATTTAACTTTCTCGCTGTACTATTGTATCTGTTTTATTACAGCACACTGAGCCATAAAGAATTCAGGTTCATCTACCCAGTACTGCCATTTTGCATGTTTTTTTGTGGTAAGCATTGGTTTCAAATGTCTTGCAACCTCCCCTGTATATAATTTTTACCTAAAGAGACTGTTAATAGTCAATGTAGGTATTTGACAAAGGCTTCTTAGAACTAGCCTAACCTTTTCTTACAGCTAGGGGGAAAAAAAGAAAAAAAAAAAAAAGGATGAGGAACAGCAAGTGACTGAAATATAGAGAATCCTTAGCTTGGGTAAAAGTACTTCCTGCAAAAAATATGAAAATTGCCTCAGTGACTCCTAACTTTTTAGCAATGTCAATTTTGTTCCTTGGCTCCTTTGTAGTATTCTTCCACCCAGTTCTGTCAAATATGCCTGACAAATGCCTTTGAGTATGCAACAAAAAAATGAAAGTATTCAAAAACTAAAATTATCCTTTTCTAGATTCAGGTGTGTTAGTAGATGATGCTAGTTTTCTGTCTGCTTTCAACCAACCACTAGCTGGAGGCTACTTCCCACAGAAGTTTTAGAGCAGTTAATGTGATAGCTTTTTCCTTCAGGCATAGTAAGGTGAATTTGTTAAAGCAGGAGTAAGGTCCCTAAACTAATGTGATTAACTTAAAAAATTAAAGAAAATCTGTCTGCAGTTTAAACTGGAAAGCTTATTGCTTTTACTAACAAAGATTTTTCTGATACTTTAACAGAAACTTTTAAAGTATTCATTTATCTTTTCTTCCTTTGTTTTGTGGTTTTTTTTTCTTTTAAACACAGAAAAGAGCCTAATAAGGAAGTATTTTACGTTTATAAAACTAGGTATTAACTACAGTAGTTTATCCATAGGAAAAGTAAAATCATGATGTAAAGTCTAGTATGCTGAAAAGTTACAAAGGAAAGATTAAAACTTCTGGAACATGAAGCTGTATAGCTTTAGTTTAAATACAAGTTCGAAACAGATGAATCAAAGAAAATTGTAATTTTCTTTAACCTGTTTTGCTAGTCTAAACAAAAGTAAATATTATTTCCATAATTTTTGCTCTCTGCTGAGATGAAATATGTAATATGTCTTGGCTTAGTTCAACAGCAGATTTAAGATGAACCAGTTCTACCTCACATGCAGAAAAATTCCAGACTGCTATTTTTTATTAATATCCCTCTTAACTTTCATGTCTATAAGGGAATGAGGTCATCTACACAATTTATCAAGAGCTAATTATCATCTGTTTGGATACTTTAGTAAAGAAAAAAATGACAACAGTTATTTCTGATAACTGGTCACAAAGAGGTCTTTAAATTGCTCAAAACATTATAAATAAAAGCAGGAAAAAACCCCACATGAATTTCAAAATTATTTCCAAGCACACTTAAACATAAGCTAAGAGCATTTCGCAAAAGCAGTAGAAAAATACCTATAATAGAATGTTTCCACTAGTGTTTAAACCACAGACTAATTAGTGGACTTTGTTTTCATCTGAGATAAAGATCTGCAATTTGTCAGAGCGGACCAGCTGAAGACTAATTTAACTTACTTGTTCCTGACTTCTGAAACAGGCCGATTCTAACTTGCTTCTTGTGATTCAGTAAAGGTGGTCACAGACCTAGGCTGCATAAAACATTTTTATCTCCTAGTACTGACAAGCACATGACTTAATAAGGGTTTCCAGACTGGTTGCAACATGAAGCTGTCTTCTGTGCCAGGTTCATCTAAATTGTGGTTGTGAGAAACAGGTTTATACAGCTATCTCCCACCAGGAGAAATGTCTCTTCCTATTACTAGCTCCTTCGAGAATAGTGGAGGGGAAGGGGCAGGGACGGGAGATGGGAAAAGATGGAGGAGTAAGCTTTTCCAAGGACAGTAGCTCAAAAATGAATAACCATAAGGGAATGCTGTAGCTTTCAGCGTGTTGGAGAAAAAGAATACCACAGCCATACCAAAGCACATGTAGTTACCATTTATTCTGGCTCTACTTGGACATGCGTGAATCAGAACACATCAGTAAGTCACCACATATCATTCATCCAAACTACCGAATGGACTATTTTGCCCCACAAGAAATTAAAATTAAGCTCTAAAGAGACAAAGCACTGGCTTTGAAATCGTACTTCTGTACTTCAAAAGATAGGTATGGGTTTAACATTTACACTGTTAAACCCAAGAGTTAATAAGGGCAAAGTCTAACCGTTGAATTTCCATTCAAAGAGTAGAGACAGAAAGAACACTATATTGAAATACCTCAAAGCAAGGTATTGTTATCAACTGGTTTTCCAGTAAGTTATGGTACTTTCAGAAATACTGTGTGGAACTGTTAGTATTTGCGTAACTCTCAAACTTACTCAAATGTTTCTATAGGATATTCTTTGAAACACCTGAAAGCATGGAAGAAATCTGCAGCAAGTTTCCTGCTTTTATCAAACTTACTCCCAGCCCTGTACACAGGCTTGATTCACCAGCGAGGCACTCTTGATGTTATGAGTCACATACGGCAACTCTGTAATAACTCCTACCAGTCACAAGCTTTTGTCTTCATCATGATGCCGTGCCACTCTACTCCATTTTACAGGTATTAAAATAGTTAAGTGTCCTATATTAAAATCCATACACTTAAGCAGAAATTAAGATTTTTTCTTTTTTTTCCTAAGCTTAATAAATTGAGATGGGTAAACGTATACAGGAAGAGTTTTGATTTTTCATACCATTAATACAGAATGAATAGGGGAAATAAGCCAAATGCTTATACCACAGAATAAAATTCAGCATCTAAGCTTTATTCAGTTTTTGTAAAATAGCTCTATATGAGGATAAGCAGTAAGTCTTACGACTTCTGAAAGTAAGTCATATTGTTCCATTACGGTAACTTTTGCAGCAAAGCTAAAGACTAATTGTTACTGTCAAACTTTATTAATTTTACCTTTACTTCTGCTGCTAGAGAGTAAAGAAATGTAATTACAACGTACAGCGACTGAGGTCACTATTCCAAAAAGTTTGCAATAGATCCTAGCAAGTAAACAAAACATTAAAGCAGATATAAACAGTGAAGCTGATATGGAAAAGTACCTTTTTAAGAAACTGATGTTACGCAGATGGTATTTTTGTTAAGATAAATCTGCTTTCTGTGAACTGCTAACAACATAGTCACAGCAGTTTGGAGCTGAATCGACTTGTTCTACTTTTGCTTTCCTACGAAGTACAGAAGGAAAGAAAATATGACTTGGGGGGGGGGATAATTACTCAATTTTGGTTTTGACTGAGGTGTCTTTAAGTGATGAGTCATTTCAAATCTTAGATATTGGTCAGTTTATCCTGAAGTGTTTCTTTTGTTTTTCTCCCTAGTCATGTTCACTGTCCTCTAAAAATGAGATTCCTTCAGTGTCCCCCAGACCTAACCGGAAATGAGAGCTATATTGATGAAGCAGATGTGTTTTACTCTAATCCACTTGGCTGGCTTAACAAGGAGTTTTACAATGATACGTTATTACCCAGTCACTTGATCTTCTTCAGTGTGCTAGAAGAGGTATGGTAACTACAAGATGAAACAAACTAGTTTTGAGGTCAAGTTAAAAAATAAATTAGGGGAGAGTTATAGTTAAGATTTTTGAAAATTGTTCTCCACAACTTTTTAAAACACAGTTTAAATTAAAATTGAACCCTCTGGTCCATAATATAGTATAGATACCATTCCAGTGATACATACTTAATATTCATGTATGCCCTCTCTGTAAGAATTCTACATTACATAATGTTTTACGGAATTCTCCTCAAGTCATATTAAGATAAATGTGCGGTCTGTTCCTAGAACCATACACTTTTAAGTAAGCAACAATGACAAGCAAAAATGCCTGCAGTCAGAGTACCTTTTCCCCTCAATTCTTTTATGAAGTCCATGTCCTCAAAGAACAGTGTCTGGTGAATATCCACCACTCCAGACAGGATCAAACAGGATAGGTACCTCTTTTTCTAGCAGTCTTTCCTAAAATAAAGGATAAAACTTCCAGAGGACAGTTGAACTGATAGTTTTCAGAAGACTTTGGAACACTGTTCTGATGCTCCCAACTACACTTCCTGACTGTAGAAACTAATGTATGTTCATTCACAGGAAATATCATCATTTCTAGCTTTAAGGGGCTATGAGAAAACAGCCACTGTCTTTCACACTCACGTACCTCAAGGACGAGTTGGAAGCCACATCTACGTCTACAGGAAAAAAACTGAACTGAATCATACCTGAAGATCCGTTTCTAGACTTCAGACCTAATGAGATCAATTTTGCGTAGCAGTACTATGCTTAGAAGATCTTGTACTGCAGAAAGGAGAGAGTAGTGAGTCTGAAACCTGGTAAGTCAAATGGGGAAGTCTGATGAGGCAGCCATTGGCTGTCTGGAAATACCTAAACCTCTTCCTGAAGGCAACTTCAGTAGCAGTATGGCAGGGTGGGAGTGTTGACCTACCCTGCAACACTAGAAAACATCGGGAAGACCAAAGTTACCATATGACTACTTAGACAATAAGGAATTAGACAAGACTGGACCATGTTTATAGAACTGTACAGCTATGCAGATTTGTTTTATAAATAAAGACTTTTTATCCACAATGTCTCTTTATTTTTCTTCTTACAATATGCAGATATGCAAGACATTTCAAGTGCTTAAATCAGCAAGCTGATGAGAATGCAGCACAGCAAATTCTTCACAATTCAACAGGCTCTTGAACCCCCCCCAAAGACAAGAAGCAAGTATAAGATTACAAAACACTAACAAATACATTACCATAGCGTAGACCTATTTTTTGAAGGATGAGATGAAGTTAGTATATCAAACATTGGAGTTAATTATTGGTACATTATGCATGACTCAAGCTTGAGCTACACTAACGGAATGCAATTAAGCATATTTTTCATACACAAGTCATTGCATGCCTAGTTTCTGCAACAATACTGCTGGCACCCAAACTACCATCACTTCCGAAGAACAGTTAAAGCAACAGTACAGAATATTAGAAAGCTTGACTTCTGCCTTTTAACAAAATGTGTAAAAATCAAATTATTTAGAGAAAAAACTTGCATCTTGCTGCTTTGTTGAAAAACAATTAGATTCCAGAGACGACATGAATTATTAATTCTAATCTTACTTTTACCATAAATTACTCAATATTTTGGATCAAAGGGTAATTGCCCCAATTCTATTTCAAGATTTGCCATGTGTCTTCCATTAGTGCGACCATGTTTATGCCATTTACCTTCTCTTTTATTACGGTGGTGGTACTTCTGAGCTTGTTTTTCATGTCTGGAATTTTCAGTTTGTGTAAAAGAAGGCCTTTTAGGTCGACTGCAAGGAGTAAACAAAAGCTTATTACTACTCTTATGAAAGCATCTCTCTAAAAACATTTTTAAACACAGTTACATTGTCAAGAACAGCTTTTAACATGCTGAGGTTGACTGAAAAGAAAACAATATTAGTATTAAGAAGTAGTCCTTTCTCTTGTAAGCAAAATGGGGGTGCGGTTTATTTATTTGTTTAAATCATCAATAAGTTGGTATATTTGAAATAAATTCTTTCTAAAAATAAAAATGCTCTGCAGCTGGTTGCCTGAAGTTTTTAGAATACAGCCAGGTAAACAGCTGATTATTCCTACTGTGGTGCTTGAGTGAGGTCTCAATCTATTTTTCAGTTATTCTATTACATTCTGCTCTATAAAAATAGCAAAAATTTTACAGAGCCTTAGGAAAGCATGCTTTGTGTAAATGTAGGCACTTCAGAGGTTTTCATGTACAGTGAGTACATTTATACAGAGAGAGGGGGCACTGACAAAACACCGTTGCTCACCTGTTGCAGTTTTTGATGCAAACAGTCCCATTATACTACATGTTGTTACATGACTAGCCTCTCTAGCCTTCTGCTAAGCTGAGTCAAGGCTATTTTCATCCTCAGTATCATACAAACTTCTGTATAATACTATCAGTAAATGAATTTGAGATTCTTTTTTCTGCAAACTGAACTAAAGTACTCAATTATTTAATTAAAAATTAAAGTTCATTTTAATAGTGAATTAGTAAAAGGGACTATAAATAAAAACATAAAACTTATGTCATGCGTTTGCCAAAACCACACATTAAAAAGGCTACTTGGTAGCTGATAATAGGAGTATCATCGTCACAGTTCAACTTTTAATAAGAGAAAGTACTACCTCACATAACATGTAGTAATCCCAAAGTAGTTAAGTATTCAGACTTCCTGCTATAATAAAACACATGAAATAATAAACAATACAAGTCCAGAAGAGAAACCTGACTGAAGAACTGCACCTTGATCTAAGTACTAAATATGCTTTGCACTGAATACCAGCACAGGGAAAAGTTCTGTTATGTCTACAAGGACAACTTTTTGTGTATTATAAATTAGCAACTAGATCACATTTTTTCTTACCTGATCAGAATAAACATTAGTACAAGAGACTATATAGCCAATTTTGTAATAGCAATGATATTAAAAGCCACATAAAATATATACGTAAGTAAGTGTTCCAGAAGGAACAAGTTCAAAACAATATATTAAGGCTGCTTGCTTAATTTTCTTTCACCAAAGTCTATGCAGCAGAACAGCCCACCATGTCTAGCTCCATTGGGCCAGCCAGGCAGCGTACCACAACCGTTCTGTAGAAGCCCTGAGAATACCATTAGATACAGGAAAGTAACACAGGAAACAATTCATGCCAAAGACCTTTGCAAGCAAGCCTGAACAAAATGTAATCAGGGTCAGGACCTGAACTAAAGCCTGCCATTTGAGTAGCTCTGTTCTGGGCACACAGACTAACTCAGTATTATACTAAGCTACAAAAGAGTCGTGAAATTCCTAAAAAGCCAGCAGGGAATATACCTGCCAGAACAGGACTTTGAGACTGCTCAAATATATCCAAAACCCTTCTCATTCCAGGAAGGACAACAAGGAAGTCCTAGTTAATGCTGCTTCTCAGCTAGTCATTCATTCAATCAGATAGGCAATCATAGCTGTTCAGTCTAAAGTAATCCTACTTGCAGTTATGCAGTTTTCTAAAGAACTCAGTAAAAATATTAGATTGTGCTATGTACAGTGGATCTGTAGTGTCTCGCAAACGAACATCACACACACACAAAATTTATATATAAGGTACTACAGATCCACTTTATAGAACACAATCTAGTATTTCCATTGAGTCCTTCAGAAAGTCTTCTAGTGTGGATATATATGTATATATACATACATGCTAGAAGACCACCTATTAGAACAAGGACACTAGTTGTCTTTACAAAGACTACTTCATTGTGTTAACAAGTTCAGCAAACATGGAAACAAACCTGGGTCCATATTGGGGTAAATTATCATAATGAAAGTAGTATCTGTAGATGTATTTGTCCAAATCCTCAAAAACCTTTTCATTATTATTTTGGTATTCCTTCATATCTTCCAGGTAATCCTTGACATCATTAACAAAATCAGTGAACAGCATCTGGTCATGTATAAACACCCCATTATGAAAAAACTTATTGATGAAATTTTCTAGTTCTCTCCAGTGATGAAAGTTATGTACAACTTGTTGCAAATACTTTTTCATTAGCCGATTAAATTCATCCACCCTAATAGGATCCGATACTCTGTTAAAGAGATTAATGAATTCTTCATGAGCACATTCAAAAATACCAGAGCAGCCCTTTAAGACAAACTGATGTTTTCTATTACAGAAAGGATCATTGAGACATTTCTGTGAATCTGTATCTTTTTCAAATGCTGTAAACTGATGTTTTCTTCCATCTTTGAATTCTTTTGGCATGTTAGGTCCCCTGTAATGCATGTGCTTCAGATTCTCGTAAGAGTTACGTTCTCGGTAAAAAGTTCGAGCTTTCTTGTTTGCCTCTTGTCTTTTATCATTTGACTTCTTTTCATCAAAGATGGTTTTTGTGGTATCTTTGAAGTGTCTGAATGTAGACTTTACAGAATCAGAGAATTTTTTCAGGTTTTCTTTCACTGCTTCTTTAGCCTGCTTAATCTTTTCTTTATGGTGCCTTACAAACTCTTTCGTGGAATTTTTCATAGCATCAAAAGTTTCTTTAACTGAACCAAAAAATGATTCCTTTGATTTCTTTTTAGTCTTACTTTGCCCTTTAGCACCTTTCTTTTGTCCCTTTTCATAAATTTCTTGTTTTTCAGTTTGGTCTTTCGCTTCAACATACAGCTTCTCCCATAAGTCAGAGCGCTGTTGCTCAAAGTTTAGCTTTTTTTCTAGTTCTACTAGCCTTCCTCGCAGAGTTTCTATTTCTTGATTTTCTCTTAATGTATCATCATCAGCATTGTCAGGCGTTTGACGAGAACTTAACTGTTCCAGTTCTTTCTTTAGGGCTTCTGTAACATGACGTTCTTTGTCCAGTTCTCTCCTTAACATCTGCGCCTCTGCAAAGAGTGTTTCCTTTTGCCTAAGAAAGTTGTGGTTTCTTTGCTTTTCCTCTTCCAAATGTTCCCTTAGTTTCTGATTTTCCATTACAATAGACTCAGTACTAGTACCTTTATCTTCTAAGTTTCTAATTTGTTGTCTTAGCTTCCTTAATTCTTCCTGAAGTGAGGCCAAAGCTTTTTCTTCCTTCTCTAGAGATTCTCTTAAGTGCTGATTTTCTGCAGCAAGACTTTTTTTTTGAGATTCAAAGGATTTCTTCTCCACCTCAGTAGAGGTCAAACATGTGGCAAGATCTCCCTTGAGTGACTAATACAAACAAAAAGAAAACAAGCAAAAATACTACAATTAGAATTGTTACAATTTCAGCTACAAAGATGAAAGACCAAGGTAGCCCAGAGAGAGTTTACTTCTCATTTTGGATGCAGTGACACACCTTCCAGGAAGATGCAAAAATAGAGCTAGTTTGTTTATCTCAGATATACACACAAACACTTTCTTAGCAACAAAGACCATGTGAGAGGCTCCCCCTTCCAACCAGAGGTCATCAGCCCTCACTTGTATTGGTTTAACTAGCTGAAGGATAGGAAACTGGGTACATTAGTTGATCCATCTTAAAAGAAAATTAAAATGTGCATGTTTGCTGTTGATTTATGTTCAGCAAACTGGGTTTACAGATTACAAAACCAAATACATTAGCAGAAGCAAGAGCATTCAACAGTTGGGGCAGAAATTCAGGAACTGATTTTTGAACCAAATTTGCTGCTGAAAATACGTGTTCATGTAACTATATCCTAACACAAAAGGATCTCCCCAGTCTCTTGGTGTCCTTGACAAACTCTAGAACTAAACATATTGAATTATGTATAAATGCTGCTATCAGCCACATAAAAGAAAACTTTAAAAAAAAAAAAAAAAAGACACGCACACACAAAGCACTCCCTAATCTCCTCTCTGAATGATCTAACAGTAAAAAACTAAAAGTACAGGTTAAGTATTTAAAAAATTAATAACCATTGACAATTTAGAAAGCAAATTCACAAAACCTGTAGGTTCAACCTGCAGTAGGTTTTTACCCAGCATGTTCTACTTCAGCTGTCTTCATTAATGACAACCTGCCATTATGTCATAGAAAAGAGACAGTCTCTGTGTCCAGATAAATCCTAGACTACATACATAAAAACCAGTATGTTTAAATACATTCCAATAACAAATGTTATCAAAATACAAAATCTTTGTCAAGAATTCAGGGGAAAGAAAAATGACATTCTCAGAAAGAATTTACTAAAGAAAAAAATGTAACGGATTGTGTGATAAATTAATTTCACTTTGTGTAAATTACACTTATAATGACAGAATAACCCAGTGACTTCCAGCTAAACTCATACCTACCCCCACTTTATGATGCACTTTATCGCCTTGCTCTTGTTGGCACTGGTAAAGGTCATCTTTCATATCCTTTAATTCACGTGTCTTTGTCACCAGCTGCTGATGTTTCTGGATCTGTATTGTACCTACAAAGATAAAACTTTCTTTTGATAGTCTGACTTACATTAAGTAAAGTAGTTAGAGGAACAGACGAACCTAAACATCATCTTCATTTTCTCTGCAAATTCAAAAGCATTCTTACTTTGCAATTTCTGCCCTGTACTTACTAGTAACTGTTTAGCTGTAACAAAATAAAGATTATAAAACCAGATTGTTACATACTGATTCTGTTTCTTCCAATTATAAACAATTTCTCAAACAGACCCAAAAATTTTCTGTCTTTTATTTGATGATAACAAATGAAGGGATTTTGGAACACTACATAGAAATAAGTTAGATACAGAACAACGGAAGTTATGCAGGAAAGGATATGTGTGATTTTTTTTGTCGTTTTTTTAGTAACATGCAAGCCAATCAGGATAAAAGGGAGACCATTAGTCCATGCATTATCCATTTCAGAACTACCACTTTTACTGTTAAGTAAAGTTACATGAACAAGAGGATCTTAACGCAGTATTTAAACTTCCATGCAGAAGCACAATTATTACACACTGCTCACAAAGCACCAAGTATTTGCAGGCCCTATCTTGTCATTCTTATCCATGAGTGAAGGCTAAGGAGTAAGCAAATATCCTATCTTTCAATTGTCAGAAAAAGGCTGAGACACACTATTTTTCTGAAAAAAAAAAACTTCATTGTACTAGCCACCAATTTTTTCCCTCAAGTAAAACTTCTTTACTGGTACTTCCCTATCTATTACAGTTCCGTAAATCCTAACACTGACGTAGGTTTTATTTCTTTGCTTTTAAGATTCGCTTGAATTGACTCTACAGCAGATGGCAACAGCAAGTTTTAGGTGTTTCTTTCAAAACCAATGCAGCATATGCAGAGTTCTATTTCTGTATTGAAAGGTGGGGTGTATTATTAAACAGAAGAAATTCCATAAATACTATTACACTGACGAATTTTTTGTGCTCTCTATTGTCAAGTATGCACCTAAAACCAGACAATGCTCTATTAAACCAACTTGAACCTCAATAGTTCAATTCAGCTAAGGGAAAGCAACGTTTTTACAGCAATGATTTTAAGTTTGCAGAGTCCTAATAAACACTTATTGGAAGCACAGATCCTTGCATAAGTGAATTTAAGCATACTGACAGTAAATTTGTTTTTCATATTTATGTTTTATAGATACTTTTGAAGAAGTCCATTTATCCTAAGAATCTGAAGACTGCCTCTGAAAAATCATCATTTAGTGTAAAGGGTTCACGTTAAGAAGAACCTGAATTACAGAAAAACACTTGAAGTCTGTTTTTCTATCAAGAATAATAATTTACGTACAGTAAGCAAAAGTGACATTTAGCAACACAGAAAGGGTAGCAAAGACATTGAAAATGCATGTAATGACGCACAATTCCTCAGTAATTGGTTTGTGTTTCCAGCTGGTACTCTAAGGCACAGTATCCTTCAGATTCTTTAAGTAATCTATCCAAATCCCTAGCATTACAGCAATATTCCCTTTTGCAGATTCTGGTTAAAGAAAAAAATTAAATATCTGAATGTCCATAAGGAGACACTCTTCTAGCAAGGGCTTCCCAACTTTAGTTTTTCCAGGTACCTATTTTCCTGGAAAGCTTGCCCTCTTTCAGATCTCCTTCCTAGAGCATCATAAAGCCAGCTAACTCAGTTTAATACTGATTAGGATACAGTTATCGATTAAAACCTAATCCTAGTTGCTTTCTACATCTTTAACAGTCTTAAAGGGGTCCTGGAGCTCTAGCTAAAGGGAAAACACTATACTGATACTGACCCCCCCTCCCCTCCCCGCCCCCCCCAAAAAAAGTAGTTTCATAAAAACTAACCCTTTCCAATCCTCTCACAGGACAATTAGCCTAGCATTAAAAGACAGCTGTGGAAAACATTCATTCTAAGCTGAATCACAAAAATGCAAAGTAGTTCTCTAGGGAGATGGATTTCTCTTTGGAAGTTTGTGTTCAAAATAAAAACAAAAAAAAACCCAGGAAGATGGAAAGCAGGATTTGATTTCCTTTCTAGTGGTAGAAAGATTAGTTATCACATAACCATGAAAAACCTTCACTTGAAGGAGCAAAAACTAAAGCCGCACAGAGTTGCCTTCTTTCTGCTGAGAATGCTGTCAGCACTGTCATCAGTGATGACAATTTTTATTTAGAAGTACAAATTCAATGAATGAACAAGTCAAAGTGAATCCCGTAATAAAGATTTGACCCTGAGTTCACTTCCAAAATCTATTTCTCATCCATAGATCTCAAAGCTCTTTAAAAGGATAGTATTTATCATTAACCCCAATTTAAACAGAGTAAAATGATTAACAGAAGCGAAACCTCAAGTTACCACCACAAAGCACTATCAAAGATTGGTCTAGCCGTTGTGCTCCTCTCTGCTCATAGCATGCCAATATACATCAATCAGTTTTTACACCAGCTACTACTAGCTGCAGCTGCCAAATAGAAAGTATTTTACATGACTGGATTAGTCATTCCTACGATCCCGCATACACTAGTAATTCTTAAGACTTGATTTTATTTTTTTTAAATGTAAGTATGCATACATACATGGATGTGTGTGTACACATACATACACACACCATTTAAAAAGGGAAATCTGAATGCAAGCACAGCATCCACAATACATCACTCATGACTCTTACCTTCAGGTTTACCTAAGAACAAAAAAAAAATAAAAATCAGGTCGAGTGAAAATTAGTATAAATCTCAAAATTTAGACCCCTAACAATTAGTCAAAAATCAAATCCAATTAGAATCACATTCCCAGTCTCAAATTCAATCACAAGTCTTATGAAAGCACATTTTCATATAAAACTAAACTACTCACTAAAAATTACTATTAAAAATAAATGCCCTCTATCATTTTTATCGTAACATATGTATCTTAGAATATCAGGATTGCACTACGTACGTTTAGATCTGTAATGAGTTCTGCTGTTTTGTTAAATGCAGTAACAATCTGTGTAATGCTCAACTTTAGGCAACGCACTGAACACAGAAAAACTGCTGCTATCCTGGATTCCCTAAACCACTCTGGAATTGCAAGGACAACTACAGTGGAGAGAGAAAAATATTGATACTATGAACTCCTGTAAAAAACATGCCTTGCTCTTACATTTACCAGATTAGTACATATGGGACAAAAGCCTGAAATAACTCTGTGAATGCTGTTAGGAATGATAAGCACTACCGCAAATTTATTTCAAACGAAAAAAGATGTGAAAAATGAAGGGTACTCACTGCATTATAAGAACAACAAGAAATTTCTATCTGGAAGGGCAACCAAAAATTAATTTCTTTTTATTTACTTCAATTTTAAAGTAGTGTATATTAAATACAATTGCAGCGCTGAAGGGCCTCCCTATATTATCCATACATTAGCAGTTGCTTTTTCTCATTTTTAGGTTTAGATTGTTAGCAGAGAACAAGACACACACAAAAAAAAAAAAACCAGAGGCACAATAAAATGGTATTTGTTATGCAAGATGTTGATTCTATGCATTTCATTTTCTATAAACTCACCATAGAAGTGTCCAAAGCCCATGCTGACTGCAATCACCAAAGCTAGTATGATGCATCTGTTAAGGCCACTACTGAACTGGCGTTTGCGCTGCTCTTCTCTGGGAGGTTCAGACTCTGGTTCAGACCACAGTCTCGGAGCTAGAGATCAGCCTCTTCTTAGCCCGACGTTTTCGTACTGCTGGACTGGACTGATTACTAGTTTCATCACTACTTGATTCATCATTGCTAGCCTGAGACGAAAAAACTGAAAACCAACATAGAACAGTCTTCAAAATGCATTAATCATTGCTTTAAAAAAAAAAAAAATCAATTTGAGTACCAAAATCCATCGTATTTATGCAAAATGTATTTGGCATTTATCTTAGAGAACCTTAAAAAACAAAATAAAAATTCTCAATGTGATAGTTTATGCTGGATATTGGAGATCAAGCATTCCTTGAGTAAAGTTAAAAATTCATTTTTTAAAGGGAAAAGATAGAGAATCAAGAAATCATCAGCAAAAAACTGTATGGCACTTCCCCATACCTTATCATTCGCTCATTAGTGTTTCTTTCAGCCAATCCTGCCTCTTAAAGCACCTACATGCACTGCCTCCGCAAATTCTTGTGAAGTAGAAAGGTTAAGAATCCAGTTTTCCTTCTCTTACAGATACTGAGACTGAACTATTTAATAACAAAAGAGCAACAGAAAGTCTTGCTAAAAGAAAGCCTCCTAAAAGACAGTCATGGTTTTATTATATTCTCTCAAAAAACTTCATTCTGTGATCTACATGCAGCTGCAGACAAAATTCCATTAAAAGTTCCATTAATGTCAGTATTATAAATATCCAAACAAAGCTTTGCATTGCAAATTTATTTAAATATGTAATTTTGTTTACTTTTAATATCTACCATATACTACCTATTAACGTCTTTACCCACCTTTTAAAAAAGCCGTTTTCAACCCCTACTGCACAGGAAAAGAACCACTCATGTGCTTCTGTGCTTGTCCCTCCCCTAACACTCTGAATCCAAAACACTTCTATTACCTGACTGATGTTTTGGAAAATTGAATCGGCCAAGATTTGAGATAAGAACAAATTCTAACCATAAAAAAAATATCTTCTATAGCATCTTTGTAAAATGGTATTTATGATACCATTTGCATGTTCATGTTCCTATGGCCCAAAAGCCATATATTCTAACTGGGAAAATAACAACAGAGCTGTAATTGCTTGTTGCTCTTAGTGGTACAAATGGTTGCTACATGTACTGTAAATAAATTTATATAATCTAGTATATAAGTAATGATTATTTAATCTCCCTCCTTTGAAAGCGTCATTTTCAAGTGTAAGGCAAATATCAAGGGGAAGCAGTAGCAGAGTGAAAAAGCAGCTTTCAAATATCTATGTTCACATACCTAATTCACATGCCTGAAATAGATTCAGTGTGATCAATGAAGCCTCCAGCACATGACAAAGTGCTCCTGCTCGGATAGTTCTAAATTTGGTGCCTGCAATTACACAATGCTAATGCCCCTTCTAGAAATATGGTTGTTCATCCCCATATCAGAGATCATCACTCAAGTGTAAAAGTATAAATACAGATTTACTGTCCTTGAACATTCCACAACTGAAAATCGTTTGTTTGAGCAAAGCCATGCACACATCACTGAATAGACAAGAATGCCAAGCAGTGCCAGCCATTTTCTATAAAAAGCATTACCAGTTAAGATTCTTCACTGAAAATAAATTCCAACTTCACAGAAGTGATCGCATCAACCCCAGAAAAGATTACCAATTAGTATCTGGAATACATGTCTAATTTCTGACTCCATGGACAAGCAACAGGTCAGATAATGAAAGATAACTTCCCCTCTTACTAAAAAAAAAAAATCCGTTTTAGTCAATGAGTCAAACCAGACTGACCAAGCAGACATTGCAATAAAGACAAATCACTTAAACAGCTACTTGACATGCAGATTCTTAAATTACTTTATATAGCTTGGCAGAAAAGGACGCTATTTTAGAATCAATCATTTAAGCAGATGCATACTTCCCCAAACCTGGACAATAAAGACAAGCATTCAGAAATTAGTCAGGAGAGAGGTATTTTCACTAGAATGCAGAGGTCAGACATTATAAAGGATTATACAGGACATACTTAATAAGACAGGTGTTATTATTGCCTATTTGGTTTTTTAGTTTTTTTTCAACAACCAAAGAAGCTTATGCATATGGAATACAAAAGTGGTTAAGGAACAAGCTGCTTCTAGCCTAACGGGAAATTCTTTGGTATACACTGGACAGCAAAGTATAGGAAAGGAAAAAAAAGACAACCAGAAAGCAAAAAGAAAAAGCTGCAAGATATTTAGAGCCATTCATAAGCACTTACTGGCAAGTTGTCAACAGCATTACACTTTCAGGCAAGAACGACATTGCCTTACAGCTGCTCTATTCAGTACAAAGCTGTACTCTAACATTCACAGGATGAAAAGGAGTATAAATGAAACAAAGTGTGACCACAGTAGCAGTCCAAAATTCTAGCTTCTGCTATGATTTTGAAGTGTCAGATCTACACTAGAAACCAGATGAAGTAACAATGTAACCAATGAAGAATGTGATTTTCTTTGACATTTCTGCACAGACATGTCTCAAGCCTAGATGCAGTTTATTTCAGTATAGAAGCGCTTCTGCTAGTTAACTTCATTCATGAAGCAATATTAAAACATTTCTGTTTGCATGGTGAAAACAGCCTGAACAGTAATTGGTTTGCAAGTAGAAGTGGCAGAAAATCATCATAGAACGTTTTAGTATCTACACTAGGAAAATCTGAAGCTCATCCTTTTCCAACATAATAGAAAACTCAACAAGAAGTGAATGGCAAAGATTTCCATTGCCGAAAAGCGGCATGAAAATTTTGACTCCTGAAACTTTGGCATTTAATAAATGCAAAAGTACTCGGACATTTTCTATAATACTTAGTCAATCAAATGCACAGCACTAAAGACCATGCTGAAATCAGCTTAAGTTAGAAGGAAGAAATTCCTTTTGCCAGTCACACACAGATTTGGAATCCAACAAGAACCATTCATTTAAATGGCCAAGCACACATATTAAAATGTATTACAAAGCTTACTGATGCCCATTCCAAATTGACATGTACGTTTAACATTTTTCAAAAAAGCAAATAAAACACTGACACTTAGCCAAATTCTTCAGTGAGGACTGGCTTTCAGCATCTGTTTGGAATATCACTACTATAAGATCAAGTCAGATTGCTACTGATAACTTCAAGAACACTCCATGCAAGCCATAAGCCATCAGCTTTACACAAGCTGATCAAACTTAATCACACCACCTTGGAAAGGAAGACTGCGAGACACATGCTCTTTCACCTCACTTCCCCATCCCCTCACACAATCAGGAATCTTCCTCAGCTTCTCCAGCCAACTGACTTTTGTATACAAAAACATGGGAGGGAAAAAAAAAATTTAGAACTCAGCCCTAAAAGAAAAAAGAAAGTCAACTAAATTTTAAATTAAAAATGAAGTCATCCAGAAGACTTAAAGAAGGTGACAGCTTTGTTATGAATCATCACTGGTCATAACTAGATGCTAAGCTGTCATTTTCTGATTCCAATGGATACTATACAGGTACATGAACCTTCAACGATGCTTTATTCTACTTCTAAGATAAAACAGTATTTTAAGAAAAATCCTGCTCTTGTAATAAACTTACTGTGAAAGGTAAAAGTCAGTAACACAAAAGTGTTATAGAGAATAAAGAGAACAGAAAAGATTACAAATAAGCAGCCAAACAGAATTAAAAAGGAAGACTAGAGACCTAGAGAAGAGTAACACAACGCTAAGTTTTTTTGTTTGGGTTTGTTGCTTTTTTGTTCGTTTTTAATTGGCCAAATATTCACATCCTTCCTCCTGAATATCATGCATTGCATTTCTGCCAAGTACTGGGAGCATCTTAAAAAATATATATATTCTACATAGCTATGAAGGTAAGCAAAAAGTTTTTGTAGTCATCCTGCTATTAGTCCTCATGGCCCCAAAAATCAATTCTCTCCCAGTTGCTAGTTACTTATGCCAACTCTATAAAAGCCAAAAAAATTGCCAAGAGAAAACCTACAATTATTCCAAGAACTAGAAGTCATTTTAATTCTCAAAAATATGCTAAAAAGTTACTTTCCATTTAAAATAGTGAACATTTGATGGGAGAGAACATTTTCAAATAAAAAGACTGCAGATATACATTTGGACAAAGTTTTAGAGTTAAGGCAACTAGAGTTGTCCCAGAGACTGCAAATACTTGGACATGTACTCAACAAGACCAATTTTCTTTTCCCTCTCCGCAGAAAGAAGGTTCCCTAAGCAAAGATTTTTTATTTTTTTCCCCCAGTGACATTTTTGCACACAGTTGATTAGTAATTTATTGCTCTTACCAGTTTCTAGATGGGAAAATGCATATTGACTGCTAGAGGAGGAACCCATGTTAAAATCCTCTGAACTTCGAGCTTCTTCACCATCAGCTGGAGCTTCCTCCTGGCTTTGATTTTCTTCTGGTTTTGGAGCTTCAAGTGTAACAATGTCAGAATCATCGCTAATAGTTCCAATGCAGGACCCATCAT